TTCATTTCGCGAAAACCATGATACCCTTGGAGCTTGTTAATTAGGGAAAGTTCAAGAATACATCCCTAAGAAATACTTCTTCATTGTATTTTGGCTCTACTCGAATATCTTTAAAAAATTAGCTAAGACATTTTCAATCATTGTATTGTGACCCAAAAAGCAACTTCAAATTTTCACTTATTAAGCCTGGCTACGAGCCTGTACTCACAGAACGTTCGGGGTATCTTAGCCTAAATTCATATCGAAAGTCGGGTAAAATTCTCAAACAAGTAACCCATACATTACTCACAAGACGATTTTAAGTGTTTGGACGAATAATAATGATATCCCTTTCTTATAGAGATCAAGCCCTAACGGGTAGAATACTGAAATAGACTTATTACATAAGAACTTGACATCAGAGTTCCGACTTAGAAGAGTACGATTATAATTTAGGGCATGTACTGGCCAGACATATTATGACATTCGACCGGGCGATCTACCCAAAAAGATTCAAACCTAAGCTTAGATGCCACTAAATGTAACACCACAAGATGATACGGGTGACTCAATCTGATTTGAGTTGTACCATTGGGGCCACCAGAGCGACCTACACTAAAAATATGGGTAAAATAAATTTTTTTAATAGACAAAATTGAAAACTATAAAACAATTTTAAAATAAAAATATAAGTTCACGAATCATATTTATATTGAAAACAAAATTCAATAATATCTAGTATCAAAACAAGTTTCAGAGTCAAATTAAAAATAAATGAAACATACATGCCCCTAATTACACATGTATCGCACTCTGCAAGTAAAGTCAAAGGAACTGTTATTATTGATGTCGATAACTGTATAGGATCAAATCTTTTTAACATGAAATGGTAAGTAATATAGTAAGCATTGAGAAAGTTCAGTAATACAGAACTATCAGATGATGCTAAAAGACAATATATATATATATGGTAGATCATCAAATTTCCTTAGTATGCCAAACATCTATAGGTTCTAGTGATGAGTTGAAAATTCATTAAGTGATTATTCAAGTAATAGTCGATAAGCTTATAGTCCGAAGGAAATATAAGAAGAGAGATTCATGAGATTGAGTTGGAGAATCTAGTGTGTTTCAACAAAATCAAAGAAAATGTATATATAAATTAAAAACAATAATAGCTTATTTCAGGAAAATAGATTTTAAAAATGCATCAATACTCTCCAATCAACACATATATACAATTCCTTAGAACTGCATCCGTAAGAACTTATCCTAGGCCCATTAGACGTATGAGCCAACCTAATGGAGCACATTGGGTCCATAAGAATTTACCCTAGTAAAAGCATAAGAGCCCACCTAAAGAGGCACTTCAGGTCCATAAGGACTTACACTATACCCATTGGGCATATGAGCCATCCTAAGAGAGTGTCTTAGGAGCCAAAAGGTCTTACCCTAGGCCTATTGGGCCTAAGAGCATACCCAAGGGTCGTCTTAAGTTTATACGGAATTATCAGCTTGCAGAGATTCCATAACATATCCCATGAGCCATATATATTTTGTAATTCAAATAGAAAAAAGATATGGAGTTTTTATTTCAAATAACAAAATTTAAAGAAAATATTCATATGCATAAGAAAAACACTAAAGGATCCAATTAATTCCTAGGAGGTGCTTAGAAATTACCATAAAAGGGAATTCGAATTTCATATATTTTTGAAAAGATTTCAAAAATGAGATTCATAATGAAAGGGGTTTGATATGTAACAGATCTAATCATACATTCGGGAATAGGTACCATAGGGTCATTTAAGATATAAATAAATTATAAGGGCATTCAAAAACTATTACATTAGGATTATATAAGATTCATAAATTTTTGGAAATGATTCCACCACTTAGACCTTCAAGGGAAATTTAGTTATTTGATTCCAAGAGAATTATGGTAAATCAGCCTAATAAGGGTAAACCAAAAATTGTAGTATTCAGGACTTCTAACCAAATATTTTGATGTAGGACTTCTAACAACATATCAAACTTTCAATCTAACTGAACTAAATAGATCTCAACTATACAATAAGTACTAAATATTTAGATAGAGACAATCCATGAATGCCCATTCCTTATAATTTGGACGATATTATATTTAGGTTTATCGGTATTTCCATAATATATTCAAAGGTGTTCACTTATTCCAAGTCATTAGGGTATTTATGTTATTCTAGAGTTTAAGCGTATTTCAGACAATTTGGAGCTCGAGGGCATTTCAATTATTTCCTTTAAATCATCTATATGCATCACGTTCGATAAATTGGTCTTTAGGCATTTGTTCATAAATAAAAAATTTCTAAGGCTTTTTCTATCTTGGAGGTTAGAAATTAATTACTAAAATTTTTCCAAACATATTAAAAATTTAACAGTTAAATCAATGATTTTATTGGGTTAAATACGAATTCTCATGTCAATTCTACTATTATGATCATTTCATGCCATTTTAACCTCTCAAGGGTAATTTCATAATTTATTATCCAGATATTTCCATAATTAAAACTTTTAATGAGAATAATCAAAATTTAAGAATTATGAGATTAATTGTTTTACCCACTAATCATTGAACTTGAAATTATTTCTTATCGATCTACTAGTTTTCTGTACGATTTAAACGAGTTTAAATCAATTTACTTTCCTTTTACTATATTTAGTACAAGTTTAAGAACAATCATCGGGATTTACATGACCAATCATTACATTCATACATCAACAAATTATCAACATGTACCGTAAATAGGGGTGTAAACGAGCCGAGTCGAGCTCGAGTAGTGCTGAGCTCGACTCGACTCGAAAACAATGAAATGAAGCTCGACTCGAAAACTCGCGAGCTTAATATTTTCAAGCTCGATTTGAACTCGAAATCCTGAACTGAAGCTCATGAGCAGCTCGAAATGACTCGAAATGAAAAAAAAATCTTAAACTTAACTCGATTGAAGCCTCAAACTCAAACATGAACCTTAAATACATGAAAATATTACTGTATTTAAAAAAAATCAATACATAAATATTAATATTATTAATAATTTATTTTTTTAAAAATAAAATCTTAATATATTATGTTTTCAAACTACTCACGAGCTTTTCGAGTCGAATATCAAGTAGCTCGTTTAAGCTCGTTAAGAACTCGAGTCGAGCTCGAGTCGAGTCCATTCGATTCGAATATTTATCAAGTCTTGATCGAGTCGATCTCGAGTAGCTCGCGATCTGTCTTATCCCATTTACAGCCCTAATCGTAAAGCATGCATAAGGTAGTAAAGTATTACATCGATCAAGTTACATTGATCGACCATTTAAACTCCAATCGATTGCTTCGAACTTGAATTTGATGTCCCATAATAGCTCGAATACATAGCAAAATGAATTACATCATAAATGGAACTTAATCGGGAAAATGGTTTGAATGAGACAGTATAATGTTAAAATAAACTTACCATATATGAATTTGGCAAACGAATCCAAAATAGACTTAGGACGTTAAAAATATCGAGATAAATATTCCCATAAAAAATCAATGGTCCATCAACATTCGATCAAAGGTGATCAATAATAGCTCTGTGCGATTTGCTCGATCGACTTGATCAACAACTCGGTCAATGGCTCAATCCACTTTACTTGAACTGGACCGGTTCAGACCAGTTCATAAGATTCCTGGCTTACGGATGATGTCCACCCATAGGGGCAATGCGTGGTGCGCGTGTAAAGTCTCCAGTTGTCAGATTGATGCCAAAATTTCCAGATGGCTCATGACTCTCGTTCACGTATTGTCTTACATCGGTGAAGGACGGAAGGTTGCTTTTGCAGATGAACGAAACTTATCGCACTCCACCCCGTCAACGACGACAGCGACGAATACACCACTAACACCCAAAGAAGCGAAACAACGAGTAGGTTCACTTGGTGTAGGCGGTGAGACTAATTGGTGGCTGAACAGCGATGAATCAATAGAAAACCGTAGGGAGACCTTGTTTTTTCGATAAGATTTCGTGATGATCTCCACGACAAATGACAGGATTACACGATGAAGAGAAGGTCAGGTTTTGGTCATATGACGACGGGAAACACGAGGGTGATGGTGGTGTACGCCACGGACGGCCAAACAGACGATCGACGGTGAAGAACTTTGAGGTCGAATGATATTCTGGAAACTTTGGTTTGCATCCAATGGGGAGTTGATTTTGGGTGTTTCAAAATCCGGTCTAGCTCGTTTAATAGATATTTTTATTATTATAATCTTAACAATAACTTAGCCTGAATGATAAAGGAATTGCTTGGCTTACCTATGAACATGAGTTTAACCCCTATCAACCACATAAATTTTATTTACTTACCTTTTTTATCATTTCCAAAGTCAAAGGTTGATGGGTAAAACATGATTTAAGGCCCTAAACTATTTGAAAGCTTGCAAAACACCCTCATGTTTTGAAAAGCATGCAATTTGGTCCTTAAAAATAAGTTAATTAAATATGATAAATTAAAACTAAAATCGAGGTATGACAGTAATAAAGAATATTGGTTAATTAATTGAAATAAAAACATAAAATCACTTTTGAGGAATTAATTGAAATTGAATAGATTTAGAATTTTATAGGTCTCAAATTGAATAGGTATTGATTAATCAAATACATGATTCAATGGGCCTAACCAACGTAGAACAGTCCGAATATGAGAATCTGGATTAGATGCATAATCCCGACTATGGACTAATTTGCTAAGATTTCCTTAAAAGGGCCTTCCATCGATCCATGCGTTTTTAAGTTGGTTAATAATACAAATGGTAGGTCAGCGTGAGTTATATTTATATATATATATATATGATTGTTAATGATGAGTGACATTTTTTTATAAAACGATAATATTAATAATTATTTTTATTACTTTTAAAATAGTAGTAGGAAAAAGAAATTTTTATTTATACTTTAATGATCATTTATGTAATTTACTCAAAACAAAATTGTTAATCAAAACACTCTTCGTATCCAAAAACGGAATCTTTGCCAACTGCCATGAAAGTTGAAATTGAAACCCTTTTAAATAGGAAGGCCCCTTATAAAATCACCCCTTCAGGCCTCATCACCACCCCTTCCTCGAAAACCTGCAAAAAGAGTAGGAAAACAATGGCTACATTCTCCACTCGCAGCTATACTCTCTCTTTTAATCTCCAAATCTTCATCTTCATCTTCCTTACAGCAAAACCCATTTCCTCTTTTGCGCATCCGGCCCTCGACAACAACCTCTGCTTTGATCCCCACATTTCCCTCTTCGGTGATGCGAGGGTTGTGGATGGAAGCTCTACCGTGCAGATCACGCGCTCTCACGCGCTAAGTTCCGGGCTTTTATTGCTGGACAAGCCCTTCAAGTCCACATTAGCATGGAATGTGGGTCGACCGACGTCTTTTTCAACCGAGTTTTCCTTTTCCATAGCTCCTGGTAATTCCGACGGTTTAGCTTTTGTTCTCATCCCTAATGGTTTTCACACAAGATTTCAGGGACAAGGGATTTTTGGTCTTTCCGGTGAAAATACGTTTCTGGGTGTTGAATTTGACACGAAGAGAGATGATAAAGCTGGGAGCTTTAATGCTAACCATGTACGAATCGATATTCATGGTCTTGAATCCGTCAAGGTTAGCAATTTGTCATCACTGAATTTAGTGTTAAACAATGGGGATGTGTTGAAATCTTGGGTTGACTATGACTCAAGCTCAAAACTTTTACAAGTTAGATTGAGTAAGCGTGATGGAAATAGGCCTTTGAACCCAGTTCTAGCATACCAAATTGATTTGATAGAAATGTGGGGAAATGAGGATATTTTTGCTGCCATAATATCAACGGCCGATGGTGAATCTTCACAGACTAGTAGCAATGTTAATGTTTATTCATGGAGATTTAGGGTAAGGGCTGTTCCCAGTTCGATGCATTCGTTGCGTGCTGATCCGAGAGGTTATATGGATAAGGATAGTGAGGAAACTAGAGAAGAAAAGGGGAAGTCTTGTTCTTTGACAATTCTAGCTAGGTTGATTTTCGCTACTGGATGTGGAGCCTTGTTTGCGTTTGTGATGCTGTTTATGTGGGCGATTTTTGTTAGCAGGCACACAGTGTTCCCCGTCAAGTGTGAACCGGGCCACGAAGATTTCAGGTACGAGAAGGTCAATGTGATTGTGGAGAAGAAAGATCAATGTAATAAAGTTTAGCGGATGGAGTTTATGAAGGTTATGATTTGAACTTTGTGTTGTTGCTGTTCTTGTTGTTACGATTGTAGGTATTCGGCTAAGCTTCGTATACTGTTTTTGTGCGTTGCTGTATGTATCCTGTAATGCAATGCAGTATTGTTTTTTTTAGGTGTAAGCACATTCTGAACATTTCTGAAATGTTGTATTCTTTGAAATGCATGATCCGTTGCTTAGACCCCAAGTTGAATCTTTTATATGCTTACAGGTTTTGAAAACTTTGGTCATGGCAATGTTCTCTAGACTCACTAATAACACCGTGATCTTTGTTATTTGTACAAAGTTCAACGCTATATTTATGGTCTTGGGTTTTCTGCATACCCTGTCTCTCCGTCTTCTCCTCTCCGATATTTGAATTCCGGTAACGGTTAAATGGAGGATTGTTTCTCTTAATCCTACATTCAGACCTTCATCGACCGTATAACTCGAAATTGCTCTCTTCTTTCTCCTCTCTGATCTTGAAGTTGCCAGAAACAATCAAAAGGAGGATGGTTTATCTTTCTAATCCTCATACGAACCCTCGCCCACCGTGTAGATCCACTTTGTTATATGTCTGAATAATGATCAAATTAAATTGGAACTGATTCCTAGACTGCCAAATGATTAAAGAAATGTATATGCTTGTTGATCTTTTCCTTTTCCTTTTTTATATTTTATACATGCTTCTCATACACCCTTAGCATTTCTTTTTGTTTGCTCCATCAGATAACAAGAGAATCCATTTGTTCCCCTCAACTTTCACTTTCATGTATTCTTTGAATTTCTTTAGACAAGCAAGTAGTGTTGAGCAGAATGTCATTTGATTTGTGGGAACAAATATTGGATACAAGTTTCATTTGTATAATACAAAGAGTGCAACCCTTTCTTTAAAACAATGGTATTCCCCCTCCGCACACATGGAATTTTTCTTCTTTTCTTTTCTTCAAAGTGTTACATTTGACCTAAATGCTCAGCCCTTGTATTGATTGCTTCAAGCTCAAACCTACTTGGACTCAGCTTGAGGTTGGACAGAGAGAGAAAAAAATTTCTTTAGCACGAAAGGCTCAGACCTTCCATTGCTGGAAACGTGAGAGAAACCCTAATTTCCATTCTAGGAAACACACTATATCACTTCTCGCAGATGCACCCCGGATATGGATTCGCATAAAAGCTCTCCTCCTTTTTCGCTGCTTTTCCAGGCTTTCTTAAAACCGCTCCCCCTGTTCTATTTGCATGCAGGGTCTTCACCTTCATCGAAAACTCCTCTCACGTTACCATTCCCTTATCCATTCGATCGATCAATCTCACAAAGCTTTTCCTGCAACATTTCCCAAATCTAATTCGATAAAACCATGTTTTAATCACTTTTTAACTTATGATTAAACCATTGTTTAATGGTTATACGTACTTGTCTGGTATTATAGTTTTTCGGAAACTTCGTATTTACGGTGTCCCTGTACTGCTTTAGCCATTTTCTGTCGTAAGTGAAAACGAAAACGTCACTCTCCAGTGCGACGGTGTAGTCGACTGCTGCCAGCTTGTTTTGGCGATCATTGAAAGGAGACAATTCATCATTCGACGCTAAATTTGAAGGAGTGTATAGATTTGGGTACTTGGCTTGGAGTGCCTTAACACCATCCTGGCCATAGATATTCCCAGCCTATATGTAGATTTTGGTATCAGAAGGGAACCCGATTGCCTCGAGGAACACGGCTACCTCCCGTGGTGTCATCGGACATACGCCTTGTCACGTTCTTTCTTCACCATCGATGTGCTTTTCCTTCCAGTGTCGGATGCTACGTCGCAGTTGCAGTAGCTCGTCGTCTTCGGCTTTGCTTAGATTGTGACTGCAACCAGTGAAGGCAAGCATGTCCTTTTCATATCTGCACACAAGTTATCGGTTAACAAATTCAAGCCATCACTAAATGTTTGAAGTTGAGGGTTTAGGGGGTTTTATTTTACCTTAAATGAAGAGCAATGCAAGGCTTATTATCGGCCCTGAGCCTAGTAATCAACTTATAGGCAAGTCCTTCGATCTCGTCAGTGAATTTAAGCGCTTCGTACATCACACGGCAACGGAGACTCTGAATAGGGTTTGGAAGGCCATTGTTAGCCAATCGGCTGTTGGTTTGGGTGAAGTTAATCACCTTATGTTTCTTCAGCAAGGAAGACATTTGATCTCTGTAATAGTTTGCCTACGAAAATTTAATCATTTTAACACCAAATCTTAAATTCTAAACTGATATTTTTCCAAGAAAAAACTATACCTTAGAGTAAGAAACTGGGGCTCGTTCAAGAGCTTTGATCGATGCATAGGCTGGTGGGAGACGATCAACATTACTTATATCCTCTTGCAGATATTCAACGAAGCGTTTCCAATCAAATATGTCCTTAAAATCACTGCACAAATTACTTGAATGAGATATACTTTTTCATTGTTTCAAATAAATAAACCCATTTAATATTTTGAACCAAAAGTTTTGTAAAGATTGAAATTAACCTTGGGTCAGTCCAGAAAGAATTGTGGTCTAAAGATGGGAGAATCAAAGTGGCATTCATCACTTCTGCAATGGCAACCATGTCACTTATCTGCAGATAAATTTATATTAATTAATAAATTAAGATAAAATATATCCAAAAAAATAAAATAAAAAAAAACTTACCCCTGTTTTCATTTGATTCAATCCGCCGTTGGAATGAACAAGAAGATAACCATTTGTAGGGTATGCTGAAAATAAGTAAACTAGTAGTATTACAAAAACAGCCCAAGCAAAAGAAATTATTAAAATAAAGCAGAGATGAGAGTAATTAATTTAACCTACTTTTTTCATTAGCTGTTTTTTTATTTGAAAAATGCCTAAACATCATGGTTTTCAGAACCGGATCGGTTAGCGGATCGATTAGCGAACCGGTCATGCTATCGATTTACTGGTTCAATCGGTCGAATCAGTCCGACCGATTGGAAGAATCGGACGACATCATAATTATTTAAAAATTAAATAAAAATACCAAAAATATTTAATAAAAAATAATTTTTTATATCACAAGTTATATTCAAAGCAAGTCATAACATATATAAGTTAAAAACCATAAAATCAAGTGATATAAAAGTATTCAAATTAACTACAACATAATATTTAAGGTAAAACATATTAAATAATTAATATAATTATATAAGTATAATTAAAAAAATAAATTTGGGGCTAAAAAAATCATAACAAAATGATATTGTTTGGTTTAATTTTTTTTAAAAAAACAATCTCATATGGCTAAGAAACATAGAAAAACATTCCAAAAGTCTAAAGAGTAAAAATATGAGAACAAAACAATCTCACATGGCTAAGAAACATAGAAGAGCATCACAACTAACTTCTATAAATAATAGAGGTAATTTGGCATTCACTTCAATCGAGCTCAAATTTTAGGCTTCAATCGAGCTTCTAATTTTTTTTTGAGTTCAAGTCTTTTTTAGTTCAAATTTCAATATTATATTTCGAGTTTGAGTTGAACTTGATAATTTTTAGCTCGTGAGTTTGAGTTGAGTTGAGCTTACTTTTAAAGTTTTCAAGTTCGAGTCGAGCTCAGAAATACTCGAGTTCAACTTGGCTCGTTTAACAAACGACGTCGTTTGGTTTAATTTAAAAAAAAACAAAATTGGCGGTTTTTTTTCCAGTTTTTTTCGGTTTTCAGCCGGTCCGGTTCGAACGGTTCAACGGTTTTGACCGGTTCACTATAACGTTCAACCGGTATATATTGAACCGAACTAGATAACGATTTCCGATTGAACCGACCGATTCGATGGTTTTCAAAACACTGCTAAACACAGTAGGCTAGATAAGACAAGGGTCTTCTTGCATAGCAACACCTGCTTCCAGAGCTAAGAGGGCAGTGAGCTCATCAGGGGGTGAGTTGACACGGACCGGATCATGGCGAGGAGTCGGGGCGAGCTTAGCCGGTCTATCAGCGATCATATTCCCTGTTCTTGGAATCCATACAAAGGTAGTCTCCCAAGCGATCATTAGCTGATCTTTGAACACATTTATAGTACGAATCGGAAGACGGCTTGGTCCAAATATCAGGTATCTGACCATGCAAAAAAAAAAAATCGACATTAAATATAAGGTTATTAAAAATGAGATAATCAGTGGAAATGATTCGATTTCCAGCGCATAAGGTTAAACTACGCATCTTAGCCACTTATTTATTCTTATGATTATGTTTTAGTCACTCAACTATTCTATTTCAAAATCATATCTGATGTGACATTTTGGTCACATGTTACAAAATTAACGGTAAAATTGACATGTCACCATAAGGTAATGCGATATTATCATTGAAATCATATCAACAATTTTGTTTATTTTTTAATTGTGAATAGGTTGATGACTAAATACGTAGTTTACCATAAATAATATGCTAAATGTTTTGGTTAGTAAGATTTCTAACTGTGGGCAGGGATGGCTGATTCTGCTGGATTTCGGAAATAATAATATCATTGTCTCCGTCATTAATAATCTTATTGGTCCTAATAGAAATTTCGAACGACCTTTCTACAATGATTTTATCATGATTGATCTTCAAGTCACGAAGGGTGTTCAACAAAGCAAACTTAGCGACCACCGTCATGAAAGCTAGCGTCATCAACCCCCTAAACATGAATATAAACGAGTACCTCCTGGGGCTCGAAACCTCCGGCAAAAACCGAACTCTCCGGCGGAAAAACATCGAGCTTCTCATTGGACACGCATTGCCGTCGACCGACTCGAAGACTCGTCTCCTGGCCATGAACCTTAGGATCTCCGAAGACACGTAAGTAATGCTCGAGGAATCGTCTGCTATACTCGTTACCGAAATGGTTAACATATTTATAGGAACGCAGCCGTAAAAACAGAACATCAATGAACAAGAGATTCCCTGAACTAAATCCGTTTGAGAAACGAAATGGGTTTTATGGTTCGTTGTTTTTTTGTTGTCAAATGATTTGGCATTGTTGTCGAAATTTTGTTTTTCAGGAAGAAATGCGAAATGAGAGGCGAAGCCACCTCTTTGCTTCTTATGTATGATTATTTTTCGGCTGTTTTTAGACGTTAGTTTGTTTAGTGAAAAAAAAAATATATTGGTTTGTTAATTTTAATTTTTATAATTATATCTTAGGCTTTTGTTATTTTATTTCCAGGTAATCGAAGCTCTATTGTCGATTAAAAA